GCTTGGTATTCAACAAAAAATGTAACAAAAAAATATAATAAATCTTTACAGAAATGCTCATTTCATTATTGGTTTTTACAAGATCGAATATCATCCAGATATATCAATTTTAACTGGTTCTTTAGTATTTTCTAATAAATAAGGACATTTATCATAAATAATTGTTGATTGGGTAAATGATAAAAGTCAAGATGTCTAGATCGACTTTCGACGCAGTCAATATGAAGATATCAATATCGCTCTAGAGTTCTAAGGAGATAATAAAAAAAAATGATAGCAAGCGTTCTTGGAGTAAACCAAGAAAATCGAGTTTTATATTATTTCTGATCTTTCTACAGTGATTGCTTGAGTCTTGCTTATTCTAATTAGTACTACCATTTATTTTTTTCATAGACTTTATTTTATAAATTTTATAAATTACTACGATAAAACTTATTTATTGTTTATCACAACTTTTAAGATAATAACTTTTTGAAATATTATGATAAAACTATGCATAATATCTAGGCATTGCATGCCTTAAAAACTAAGATAGTATTATAAATGTGTAAACTCTTAAATAAATACAACAGTTTTAAGCAAATAGTTTTAAGCATACGATTAAAAAAATATTTCGCATGTAATAGTTCTTTTTGTTTTGTACATACCATATTTTTGTACATAACTTAAAATATTAAAGTATTTTATAGTTACAAACTATAAAATAAAAATTTTTATGGATACAGTTAGTTTATAGATTTTTGAACAATTGAATTGTTATGTCTATATTGGCAATTTTCGATGGAAGTCAAAAACGATCAAGCAAACATAATTCTATTTGCATGATCTATATTTGCGTTTCTCCGGCGTGTGAAAATACGTCTATATTCTACAAAACGAAGGCCGAATAAAATGGAAGAAACAAGAAATATTGTTTTAATTTTAAAGAAAAGACTAAATTTATTTCTAATCTAAGCATTTGTACAGGAAAATTAAAAAATTATTATACATATTATTTCTATTTTGTCATAAGGCAAAGTAAACTTTTATTGATTTTTAAATGTAATAGAAATATTTAAACGGTAATTATTTGACGCTTGTAATTAGATAACACTTTGCAGAATTTAAAGCTCTTTAAATACCTGGTTGTCTCGCAGTTTTTCTTCATAAACTACAAATATACTACATTTGCTGAGATATCGGATAAAAATGATAAAATTTATTATCTAATGATAACATGATTTATCACTGAATTCAATGAGCATTATACTTCGAAGATCGTTTATTTTCGAACTTTTTAGTACTTTTATCAATTCGGAATTTTCTTTATGAAACACGGCTTGCATGAATAACTACATTGTTATAATATTCTACAAAATGTTATCAGATTCTATTTTAATTTCATCGTGTTGCTTCACAAAATGAAGTATTATAAAAATATTTTTTAGGTATAATTATAATTAATATTTATTTAAATATATTTATAATTTATATTTATCTAGATATATTTGTAATTAATATTTATTTTAGACGACAAATGTTCTAATATTCATTCTAATTATTGCTAAAATGTATTGCGAAGAGATATTTTTCATCCTAATTTAAAACAATTGAAGTATACTGACGTGAAGAAACCACATTATGCACTCGCACATCATCGATGCAATTTCAAAGTACCCTAACTCTCGAGAGGCGAATTTGCAAAGGAGAAAATTATGCAAACATATACGCAGTCCACCGTTTTATCGAAGACTGGAATATCCCGAACAAACTTTCCCAGGGATTGTTTCTCAACGCTTCAGGATTGTCACAAGGTACCTATCTGGTTGGTACTGGAACTTTAAGCTTGCCATCGAGTATAATGGCGTTCGAGCTTCTTCATTATGCAGGCCAATCATGACTGCAACTTCCTTCAAGTCATCCGCCATGTCAGCCTTTCAATTATACATATACGCGCTCTCCATTTAACGCAGTCTGTAGTGTATTCCTACTACTTATAGTTGCTGTGGTGTTCCGTGTTAAAAACTAACTGCAAATATTATAAAAATGCTTAATAACTTTTTTTAATTAAAAAATGCAGAAAATATTATGAGAATAGTAAAACATCGATTTATTGATTAAATAGGTAATTATTTTGTAGGATTGGTTATAATTTTATGGATTGAGAAATGTACGATAAAATGATATAAGACAGCAAGACAGCATCATAATTGTTTACTTTACATATTACAGATAGAATAAAACAATTTTTCTATGTAATCTCATTAATACTAAGAGAATTTATTAATACTAAGAAAATTTATTAAAATTTAACAATAAAACATTATTTGAAAGAAATCGTTTTTTTATTTTAAAAGTATAAAAGTAGATCTTATAATATATATATAAAAAAATGTTCATTGAATTCTTTCTCTTTTTTTTTCTATGAAAATATGAATTTATCTCATATAATGCGTAAATTTTTTTTTTCAATTCTCTTTATTCTTATTTTTAAAGCAAAATGAATGATTTGCAAAGATTATATCACATCGAGAGAGACCATTATTTAATACGTTAATTTAATACAATTATCAAATTTACAATTATCAAGATATTTATTAAAAAATAATACTTCTGTCGACAAAAAGTATAATCAAATATCAAAGCAAATTTTATCAAAAAGGATTTGTCTCCTTCGTTCTACAAAGTAAGTATTTACAAAAGAACAAATGAGTTTAATTTATTAGAATATTGTTATATTTTTTTAATTAATTTTAGTTTTATCAAGAGTTGCAGAATATTTTATTTTTCTTTTTTAAATGTTCCCCGTAAATAAGTTATAAGTAGAGACTTACCTAGAATCATAACTAGAAGTTAAACTTACGGTATCGCTTAGGTTTCCAATATCAAGATGTATAGAACGTAGGTAAACCTCAACGCAGCCTAAAGGCAAGACATGTAGCCTACGGCAATTATATGCAAATCTCAGCAAGTTGTGCCTAAAACCTCAACATTGTCACCAACTAGCAGTCTCGATCGAACGAAGAATAATACGAGTAATACCCATCAATAAATCGACAAATAAGATGATAAGTCTAATTCAAAAAAATATTGCGGATATTAGAGACAGAAATTAAAAGAAACAATATTAGATTTATAATAGATTCTTCAGATGAACCGAGAATTCCATTTAATAAAAAATGGAAATAATTTCTGGATTTTATTTTCTTGAGTCAGACAATATATCTGACATTTTATATAGTTTATTGATAATTATTTGATATAGATAAATTTTCCTCTTTTCCTATTCTTTCATATTTTTTATTTTATACATTGCTATGTTAATATGAAATTAATATCAACATTTAATAATATTATAGATAGCGTAAGCATCTATATTCAACTGTGTTCTCACTAAGACTTGTTATCATTATTGTCAGAGACACAAATATTATCTCATTACATGTTTAATCAAATTTGATGATCTAGTTATGGTAGAAAGAGACTGTTAGTAATAAATAATATGACAACTACACAATAATTTCGAATAGCCTATTTAGTCTTAAGACAGCGACACATCATAAATATTGTTGATCGTTGTGCAATAAGTTATTAAAACTATTATGTTGTGGCAGTATCAGCAGAAACAGAACTAGTATTTTAGATCCGCGCGAATGTGACTGTACGTGTGTGTGTGTGTGTGTGTGTGTGTGCATGTGTCAATTTTTATCTTATTGTCAAGTATATACACATATGTATAACATAAAGTGATATACCTTTCAGCGAACTTTACATAACTGAAAGAAATTGATTAAGAAGATTGCTAAAAATTGATTGAGCAAATATATTCTGATATTATCATATCTAATCACTCTCCGTTTTTCTTGCTTATATTAATTATTTTTTTCGCTTTAAGTCTAACGTTTGCACATGATAACAAGGATACGAATAAAAATGAAAATTCCATGTTTCTGTGGTATCTCGGTATCTGCGCGGAATCAACTACCCAAGGAAATCGTTCCTATATCCTATGATCTATCGATCTATACACACTCGATTGGATTATAATGATCACGTATGAATCATCTTCAACAACAAGTGCTCGAAAAAACAGATTTCATCGTACTGCACACGGATGCATTAAAGATACAAACGAATGTATTTTTATTTGATAGATCGGGCAGGTTGACTCGGATTTTGCATTACACTCATGACGAAGATACACAAATGCTTATGATTAAACTCGAGCGCGCATTAGACCCTACGAAGTACACGTTAGAAGTCCTTCAAAGGACGTATCGCAAATGATGTATTCGGTTTTTATGCAAGTCTATATGAAGTTGATGGAAGGCTGAGGTAATATTCGAAGAGAGAAATTACACAAGATGTTCAGAAATTCGCGAATCAATATATTACAGTAAGAAAGTTTTTGAAAAAAGAATAAGTTATAAAAATATTTACTATTTTTTCCGAGCGGTAGTTTTTAAAACTTAAAGATTAAATACTAGCCATTTATAGATTACTGTGTTATAGTATTAGTGATGCTCGACTCACAAATAGTTTTAACGTAATTGTTGTCCAATTTTAAACCTTTGTATCTCAAATTACTGTTTTGAACAATAAATGACAAATACTTTTATAACTTATTCTTTTAAGAATTTTTTTGCTGTGGTATTTTGATTCGCGAATTTTAATACTGTATGTGTGTTATATTTTAAAGCTGCTACAGCAAGTAGTCGAGATAAAATTTGAATGTAATGAGAACTTTATGTCAGAATATGCTGAGCATGAAATATTCCTTAAGATTTTTTAAACTTGCACATATATTTATTGTATATAATCTCCTATATTTTAATTATAATTTTCTTGCTCAATAAAAAATTAGAAAGCAGTATTTAAAGATATCTGTTTATAATAATGAGAACAGTCTTCATTATTATTGTAATTTACATTTATTATAATTTATTTTACACTATTATATTTTTTTAGACGAATTGGTGTAACACAATTTTCGCCCATACGCACGTCGTGCATTCCCTTGTATGGACGAACCTTATTTAAAAGCGAAATTTCATTTGCATATTAGTCACTATAAGGATCAAAAAGCGACGAGTAATACTCCAGTGGAATCTGTACAAAAAGAGTTAGTATATACTTTTTTCAATCTTATCAAACTAAAAACATATACAAAAATATTCGTAAAACAAAAGCAAATGGTTGTAAATGTTATTATAGAAGTGATACATACTATATTACATTCCGCCGTACACCGCGAATGTCCACATACTTAGTAGGATGGGCAGTACATAACTTTGTTGCCGGAACGATCACAAATTTCGGGAGATTTCAAGATGTGGACAAGAGACTGAAGTTTCATGGATCGATGGCCTTGAATCGCGGTTGGGCTGTCTACTCGACGTTACAGACATGGTTAATAATAGAAAGCCCGCTCGTGAAGGTCGATCAATTTGCGATACCGGATTTCAATTTCAATGCGATGGAGAATTGGAACCTCATCACTTATAGAGAATCTGTAGTGTTGCATGAAGATGAAACTCCGAGGAGAAAAGTAGTGAACGGACTGTCAGTGATGGTTCACGAGTACGCTCACAGTTAGTTCGGTAATCTGGTGACACCCGTATTCTGGGATGTTGTCTGGTTGAAGGAGGGCTTCGCCACTTATTTCCAATATTTTGGCGTGTCCTTAGCAGAACCGGATTTGAGAATGATAAATGTATTCGTAGTAGATTGTTTGCAACCGATACTGCTTGCAAATTTTGACAATCATACTCGCACATTAAATGGTCAAGAGATCGGGGATCGTAACAGCATTATGGTATTGTTTGATTTTGTCTCTTAGAAAGGTATAGTAAGTTACGTATGGAACACCATTAACATGTTTTATATTACATAAAAATGGTATTTACATTGAATAAATGTTTCCATTAATAAAAGAATAATCATTTCTAAATCTTTTAAATAAAAATTTTTTTAAATTTAAGTAATTTATAATTATTTTCAAATAAAACGAAATAAAAAGATGTATAAATTTTGCCATATATATTTTATACATATATGTAATTGATTTGTATTCACCTTTGATCGCTTATGAATGCTGCGTCACTTATTTCTTACATAATCCGTTAATCGTATCACTGTAAATATGTGTAACAGTCTTGCAAATATAGATAGAATTATCTTTCGATCATGTGATTTAGATCCTCAGAAATGATTATTTATTTAAATCATATATATCTAGAATTAATCACTGACGAATTTAATTTTTATAACATTTTTATCTTTAACATGATGTATTGTTCTCGTTTTTTTATATTAATAATTTCGTAAGAATTACAATTAATTGTCCACATTTCTACTACACTCTTTTTGAAATTTTAATTAAAATAGCGATTACAGGAAATCGTTCAAACTTATGTCTTATTAGTGTCTAGGATTTATTACACCCAATTATACAAAGTTAATTATATTATCTGAATAGAATTGTATTTAAATATTAATTTTATTAATATTAATATTAGTAATTTTAATAATATTAACATAAATGCACATAAATGCACAACATTGCAAGATATTTTCTTCTTACATTATTTTAATTTTTAATCTTTTATTAAATAATTTTTAATAACAGATAATAATATTATATTTTTACATATTAGGTGTGGGAAAAAGTTCGTGGCGTTTTTTTAATGCCATCTAACGGGAAAAACGCCACGAACTTTTTCCCACATCTAATATCATCTAAGATGCTAAACTTATAATAATTAATTCTATAAAATTAATGCTATAAAACTTATTACGATTAATTCTATAAAATGAAAAATAGAAAAAATCATTGAAGTTATATATTGATTATAATTTATGTGTTTTTATTCAGATTTACAAAACACAGAAATTTAGCTTCTGAAATGTAACATAAAACTCATCATAACATATTGTATTAGAAATAGATTGTAATGTATTGTGTCATATCGTTTTCAGGTGCCTATGTAATTCGCATGATCAGTCATATGATCGGAAGCACAACATTCCAATTAGGATTACAAAATTATTTGCGCGAGTTGTAGGTGTCTGTATTATATATGCAGAACGTTTCTAAATTTCTGTCGATATTTTTTTTTAACATAAACGATATTATTGTCGTGATGTATGTAATTATCTTATTTTTTTAAAGTAATAACAATTTTATAGTTAACACTGTTTTTCATAAAAATTTATTTTTACTATTAGGTCATTTGAAGCAGCCACTCCATTCGACTTGTATCGACACTTGCAAGCTGCATCAAATATAACAAGGCAATTGTACAAAGGCATATTTATAAAAGACGTCATAGAATCCTGGGCAAATCAGCCAGAATATCTCTTAGTGATCATACACGAAACTACAAAACGAAGGCTTTCTTTGCCTCGCAAGAACGATTTTATCTAAATCATCAAGCAGCACAAATTCCAAAAAATCAAGGTGGTGAATATCATTAACCTTCGTTACCGAAGAATCGAATTTCACTTTTAATCGAACTACTACGGCTGCCTGGTTGAAACCACAGGCCAAGAGCATGCTAATCAGTTCTGTAAAACCAAACTCGTGGGTGATTTTTAATGTTCAGCAAGTTGGATATTATAGAGTCACTTATGACGAAAATAACTGGAAAATGCTTATTCGCTACTTGAAGTTGAAGAATTTCCAAAAAATACATGTGATAAATAAAGCTGCGCTTCTAGATGATGCTTTTAATTTAGCAAGAGCCGGTTATGGATTATTCCATTTGATCTTACGACATATCTTACTCGTGAAACGGAATACGAACCGTGGGTCTCTGCAGTAAATAACTTCAATTTTCTCAATCATATTTGCTCATCGCGAGTACAACGTCTTTTTCAGGTAAGGTTATTCTTCTACTCGTATATAAACATCAAATTGATTTCAAAATATAACTTATTAATTATTTAAGAGATATGTCACAAATAAAAATTTTAATAATATTTAAAAGTTTTCTTATCACTACAAACAATTAAAATTTGATGATATCCTTTTCAATTTCTTTTATAATGTTTTAATATATAATTTGCAGAACTATGCAAATAACTTACTTAAACCAATGTTTAGTCTATTAAGCTTTATGGAAAACTGTCCCTGTGGACAGTTCAATAAAGAAAATGCATCGCGAATTGATTCTATCTATTGTTTGCTTAATGGTTAATAATATGCACTGTCTAAAAAATCGAAAACTTTTTTTAAAACGTAGATTCTATCTGAGAAAAGATATGAAAAGATATAAAGATCAATTACCAGCGAACTTCTAAAACCAATACAACTCTATATATATATCTATATATATCTATATATATATATATATTTGCAATATTAATATTTTAAATTAAAGTTTAAATATATTCAAATATTAGGAGATAATCTTATCAACTGTTTTTGTTTCTAATATGTACTTTATCTTTTGGTAAATATTTTCGTGAAGTTTATCTTCGGGAAAGATAACTAATTAATTAATATATTATACATTTATATATTTTCATGATATATTTTATGTATATGCAGTATAATATCAACAAACAAGAGCTTCGTGTATTACGTGGGTATTCGAGCAGGTGATGATAATGATTGGCATACTGTTTGGAACAGGTTTCTGCGCACTGACTTACATACAGAACAAGAACTCTTGCTGAGTGCACTCGGATATACTAAAACTCCTCATTTAATCGACAGATGGATTATAAGAAATGGATCATACAGATAAACGTATTTACAATCAAAATACTAAATTTGTCCAGCATTCAGATTTCTCAATGCATCTATAATGTATGGACTCAAACTTCGCAAACAATATAGAATGACAATAATCAATGCCGTTTTGAATGGCAATCCCGAAAATGTTAATTACGCCATTGATTTTATTCACCATAATTTCCTCATGATTCTTAAATCGTATGTATTATGCGTTCTTATTTTCTTTATTTTTATATTTTTTATTATATAACTTTTTATTTTCTTTATTACAATAAACAGAGTATTCCAATCAAAACTTATTATTTAAGAATCAAGATAATATTATCATTTTACGTTTTCGTTATAACGGCAAATATTTGATTGTGCGCACCATTTCTATCGGAAAAGTTTTATCGGAAAATAGAGTTTTATGAAAAAAATGTTAAATTCAATTAACCTTTTGTTTTATTTTTTATTAATTAAATGTGACTAAAAAAACATAATGGTTTGATTATTTATTTGCAATGAATTCTTATATTTACAAAACAAATCTTGAAATATTTTATTCTTACACTTTTACAGAAGAGGCATAGATTTCTTAACCAAAATGCTCACTGTTATAGGCAATAAAATTATTATGAAAACTCAATTAAACAAGATACAGTTTGTATATGTATATACAGTTTGTATAATTTAATATATCAATATATCAATCACACACACACTTCTCTTATATTCTAATTATATATATATACAGAATAATTTAAAACTTATTATATTATATAAGTAACATAATTATAAAATGTTTATAATATTGTAGCTTCGCTCATTTGTTAATGAGAACATTGAAAATCTAGGATCAGCGTTGAATTCAGCAGAAAAAGCCATAAGTGTTTCTACTTCATCCTTAGCATGGATCGATAAATTTTTACCTGCAATTGAAAAAGCATTGTTAACTATTTTTATTTTTATTTAAAGATATGATATACAATATATACACATATGTATGTATATAATAATACATTATGTAACTATGTATATAAAATATCAATACACATTATATTTGGAATCGAATGTACATATACAATACATAAAATAAAGAGACATTAAACTTAAAAGTTTATTATGCAAGTCACTGCAACTATCCCAATTTTAAAAGAAATTGAATATATAAGATATATTATTTTTATAGAAAGATTAATTATTATTTGATACTAAGTGACGTAAGAAACATGTTATAAAATAGAATATTAAGATTTATTGGATTATTATTCCTAGATTTCGTTTTCCTTTTTATAAAAATTGATTTATATAAATATTAATACATAGAGGAAAGCCTCCTATTACAAGATAGACGCTTAATATGAGATAGCGGCATTTCTGCTAAACTAATAAATTATTTATTGGTTACCACTATGAATTTATTAGATTGAAAACTGTTTAGTAGAAAATTCATTATTAAATCATGCCTGTAGTTATCATAAAAAAAGATTTTAGAATTTGGATATCTTTAAGTTTTATTGAAATGAACTTTTAAACATTGTTTATTATTTAATAAATATTCAGCAATAAATTCTTCATGATATCAATACAATAAGATCTTACTAATAGAAAAATACAGGATATGTTGAATTGCTTAATTACGGAAGTTAGTTTGATGATCACAAAACCATAAGGCATGGAAATCGTAAAATGAAATACCTAGAGTATTTCTAATATGAAATAATATAAATGTTATTACAATATAAATGTTATTACAATAATAAAAAGGACAATCAGAATGAACGTCGAGTGCCTATTTCTGCGATATTTGATTTCAAATATCTGAAGATGAATTCTGGATATAATGTATTGCATACTCATTTCTCGCGCATCCTGGCTGTGTTTTTATTTAAGAAATATTAAATAAAGTTTTTTAGTTATAATACTTTGATATATTTTGCGTTTTACTATCGATTTCTTGGGGCATCTCATATTAGGAGCATAATTTTTCAACTTTGTGATTTGCTCACTTTTTACATTTCTTTAATTTTCAAAAAAAATGAAATTTGAATTAAATTTTATATAACATTATCTTAAAGCTTATTAAATTCCCTTCAAAATGACCTATTATTTTTTTAAATTCTCATAGACTTCTAGCATTTACTCAAAATAAACTCTATTTCATAATAGGGGTCTTTCCTCTATAAATATTTTTTTTATTACAAACTTTCTTAGTCCTTATTTTATACACGATAAACGCCTTTAATATTAATTCCTTACATATATTGTTTACAAGTTTTTTACAATATATTTTATGATTAAATTATGCTTAGATAAAGACTACCTTCTTTATATAACACATATTTATTATAATTTTATTTCTTATATTTATATTTATTATATTGCATACATCTATATATATATATATATATGCGCGCGCGCGTGTGTGTGTGTGTGTGTGTGTGTATTATTTTTATTAATTATAATTATTAATT